GGGTGGGGTTGGCGTGCGATGAGGTGGGGAGCGTGGGGGAGGGCAGAGAGGGGTGGTTTACTTTACAGGGAGGGTGTGGAAGGGAGGATTTTTTATATTTGTGGTCGAAAGTGGAAGGGAAGATGGGTTTTCATAATGGTGGGAACTAAAAACATCTTAGAAGACCATTTTACCCCTGTATTTAACGAAAAAGATAACATAACTAACAGCAGGACAAATAATGCAATTGAAAGTGAAATGCAATTGAAATAAAGTTGAAGGATCATAGTAAACATTTTAGAAATTGAGAGATTAAATTGCGAATCAGGTCAAAATTCAAGGACTGTTGAACCTAAAAACCCAAAAATGTAAGATTGGAAAAAAAAAAACATTTAGAAAGAAAGAAAGAACGAACAGCAGACCCAAGTAACTTTACTTGTTCACAAGTTAATCCGAGTTTAGAGTTTCAATAATCTCCTAACTCAACTCAGTCCAAAAAGACACCAAAGTAATCTTCTAAGTTAACCACCTTTGTTTTTTAAACGTAGTTTTGGGGGGCAAAACAAAGAAAATCATCCGTTATCATGCAGAGATCAAGGCCATACTTACATACTAATTATAAGCAAACCACAGGTGTTTATGTACACCCAAACCCAAGTGAGTAGTAGTAACTAATTTCGCAAGTAATCCAAGCTGTAGAACCACGCACGAGTTTCATTAATCTCTTTTTTTCTTACGTTGGAGTTGGACATTACCTACCATTCAAAACCGACTTGAAAAATGAGCGGTAAAACCTACCATTCAATGTGGCGGTTGACAGAGACGACCAGTAGAGGGAGGGAGGGTGAATCAATGGATTCCATCACATATAGTCAACCATCTGAACCACCCTAATCAACTGAATCCAATCCACTTTCTTAACACCTTCATTTCTATTCTTGTTCAACCAGATGGTAAACCTATCTCATCACCTCAGAGTTCCAACTTCCGGGTGCAAACCTTCAACCTTCCTGCCCAAAGGCCGGAATCTAGATGGCGTAGAAGGCGACCGCTAGTTTCAGCCACGAAGAGAAGCAGGCAGAGTCTTGGAACAGGTACACACCATGTTGTAAACAAAACTATCACAGAGCAATTTCCCAGATCAAGTTATTTCCAGCAAATTTTACATAATTGATTCCTAATTTCTGCTGTTTACTCCATGAATATATAGCATTGTTCATACATGCCACAATTCATGGACCATATATCAGACACAACACCACAATTCATAAGATAGTAATTTTTATGGTACAACAGATGACTGCAATCACATGTAAATACCGTATTGAAGACAAAACTATCAAAGAGTGCAAGTTTTCTTCACACAATCTCCCCAAAATACCCACCCAGACCAGAGTACATGATGCGGTAAAACCTACCATTCAATGTGGCGGTTGACAGAGACGACCAGTAGAGGGAGGGAGGGTGAATCAATGGATTCCATCACATATAGTCAACCATCTGAACCACCCTAATCAACTGAATCCAATCCACTTTCTTAACACCTTCATTTCTATTCTTGTTCAACCAGATGGTAAACCTATCTCATCACCTCAGAGTTCCAACTTCCGGGTGCAAACCTTCAACCTTCCTGCCCAAAGGCCGGAATCTAGATGGCGTAGAAGGCGACCGCTAGTTTCAGCCACGAAGAGAAGCAGGCAGAGTCTTGGAACAGGTACACACCATGTTGTAAACAAAACTATCACAGAGCAATTTCCCAGATCAAGTTATTTCCAGCAAATTTTACATAATTGATTCCTAATTTCTGCTGTTTACTCCATGAATATATAGCATTGTTCATACATGACAATACATGAAATGAAATGATATTTGGCAAGGCATGGACTATATATCAGACACAACACCACAATTCATAAGATAGTAATTTTTATAGTACAACAGATGACTGCAATCACATGTAAATACCATATTGAAGACAAAACTATCAAAGAGTGCAAGTTTTCTTCACACAATCTCCCCAAAATACCCACCCAGACCAGAGTAAATGACAGCAATCATACAGAAATCACATTTTTTGGGGTCCCCTTTTCCTATTCATGGAATGCTCAAGACTGTTAAAAAAACAAAGCACCAGTCATATGATTCAACACACTCAAAATAAAAGACCACGATACTAACATATTTGACAATCCTTAAAAGGTCATTTCTTTTCAACAAATCTACCACCCCCTGCTGAGAACAAACACTCAGAATCCAATAAAGCTGTTCCTCAAAGCATACAATGGTCAACTTTTCCCTCTCTAACCAACATTTCGTTTTCCATGGAGGTTAGATAAGCATCTCAAACTTCACGTATTTGTAAGACCATTCTTGGTATTCTTTCATCAAATGTTCTCCATCCTCAGCGAATAGGGTGATATTGTGTGATCCCGCGCTTTGGAGGCAACTTCCTCAAAATGAAAAGGACCAAAGAAGAAGGCAATATCTCCACCAACTACAAGAAATGAGGAAGGAAAATTTCAACGACCAAACTTCAAACTCCAATGAGGCTGCTTAATGGACCAATAAAGTTACTTTAGCCAAGCAAAAATATAAACCAAATGCTTACCAGGTAATATATAAAGTTTAGAATTGGGTGATTCAAAACATCAAGATCTGCTGCGTTATCAAATGCATTGAAGCACATCTGTAGCACAATATATAAGAACCATAGAAGCTTAAGTGGGGAATTAATAAATCAGGTGCGACAATTCAGCTATTACCATTCGTTTAGCAAAATGAACAGCCTTAGCTAATTTGATGACAGTTGGTACAACATCCAACGTAAATTATATGGTTGTGTGCTTGACACACATATTATATGGAAAACTAAAACAGTCTATCCATGTGGTTTTGATTGTTTAAAACTTTGACCTACTTCCTCAAGTTCAAGTAGTACTAGTAGTAGGCTTACTCCAAAAACATTCAAGCAGACTCACCATTATGCATCTGACAAGGAAACATGTAAAACATATGGTTGTCACATAGCCAACCTGTCAAGGCCAAAAACACAAAAAAGGGAAAATAAGTACATCTAAAGATCAAAACTTATGGGTGCTTAAGAAAAACTTTTTGAAGTATTTACCTCCTGCAGCTTCTTACGTCGTCCTTTTGATTCTACAGGAAATCGCTGCAACATCAAGAAGAGTCTGCCAGAAACAACAGCAGAGACTACCTTAGAAGATTGCCCATAATGTAAGTTTTATGTCAAAATTACATTAATACATACATGTCAAGCCTGTAAAAAGAAGTATTCATATTATTTGGCAGGAGATACGTTGCAATCAGAAATATAACATACACACCAAATAACCAGTGGAAAGGTGTTATATTTCCAAATTTTCTCTCTGAGAAGCACACATGCTACAGCCATGCTTACTGCTACAGAATTCATACTTTATGCGTGATTTTCACATAGTGAGATTAGCTGTAGCACACACGCATGCATAACTTCAGAAAGGTAATGACATTCCATTACAGAAAGGGAGAAGGTGAAACAGGCGTCTCAGCACTCTACCCATCTTACAGGTACCCATAAAAATTAAACATTCATCACTCATAAGCACCATGAGAGACCTACTTATCTTAACACCATTTGAGGAGAGAGAGAGAGAGAGAGAGAGAGAGAGAGAGAGAATAAGAACCATTTGTTCAACTACACCCAAAATTCAGTGACAGCTACACATAAGTAAAACAAGAGGCACGATACATAGTTACACATAATTAAATATGATGCATCAAAGAAACTACAATTTTTCAAGAAGACTCTCTATTGTGTTCATTTGTTTCAATTATTTGCTCTTCTGGGCTAGAAAACGTGGACAAGAGCATTATGCCGATTGAACTTAGTCCACAGTCTCCTCTTGTCTTAGAGCTTCTAATGTCTGATGTTTATCATTTAGAACCAAACACAGTATAATTCGATTCAACCAGTAAACTTATGTGAAAGCAACTAAATTCCAATTTGTGCTTTTGTAAGATTTTCTTTTTACACGCCACAATGCAACTTTGCAAGGGTAGATGTTTCATATGTTAGACAATGCAGCAGACAACCAAATGCAGAGCGACTACCTTCCGCCATATAGAAGAAACCCAATGGCTGCAAATAAGGACACACCTGCAGGAACATATGTCTTAGAATAACAGATCATTGAGATAAACAAGATAAACAAACAATCTTCAAAACTATATGTGCTTAGAAAATAAATACCTGCAAAGAACATCTTAGATAAGATGAGCAGAACTGGTATAGGCTTCCACCATAATATCAACCACATAGCAATCTGTAACAATTTAATCGAAAAAATTAAAGATGATTCAATGGTATTACTATTATTCCCAAAAGGTAACAAGTAAACTTAGCAATATACATACAACTGTGCAGAGTGCACTACATAGTTGTACTACAATAAGGGCTTGTTTGGGAGTGATTCTTGGATGGCCAGAATCACTTTTGGGGAGAAGCACCTCCCACATGCTTCTCCATATAATCACTTTAAGCGATTTTAAGCGATTCTGGGGAGAAGCACCTCCCATGTGCTTCTCCATAAAACCACCTAAAATCACATAAAGTGATTAAATGGAGAAGGAATTATTGGCATATCCAAAATCACTCCCAAACGAGCCCTAAGTGTAATCTGGACCATATCAACTATAATTGAAGAGCCAACAAGTAGTCAATGATCCTACTTCAAACAGGCACCCCTGAAAACTCTCTCCATGTTTCCAGTGAAACAATCTCCCAACTTTTGCTATAATTTCTAAAATTTTGAATTCAGTAAAGACCAATATTTTTCTATATTTCTAAATTTTCAATTTAATTAATATAAAGGTGGAAATCAGCAGAAAACTGTTCTAAACTATTTGGGATATATGAGTGGCCAACATAGAGCTGAACCTGGCAGGACTTTGTTTGGAGATCAGAATATCAGTTGTTAAGCATGGATTTCATGCAAATAGGCGAGTAGGAGATTAGTTTGGACTCAGTCCCAACAACAGTTGAAAGACACGTGAGTTAAAATGGCCATAGTTGTGTCTGCAATTGCACATACCATTTGCACATGCAATCATTCTAAAATATGCAAATATAGAAAAAGAGAGGGAATGGAAAAAGCTTCTACCTCATTTTTCTTTTCCATTATGGAAAATAAAAATACATCATGATTCAGAACAATTTTTCATCTCCCAAAATAATATTAAGGTCTGGTGAAATAATATTAGAATCTGAAGACACTTATTTCAGGAGTTAATCAATGACAACCGCGAGGACAAGCCAATTCCAAATAACATGCACGTGCATATAGGAGCAGTCTTTCTTGCAATTATAGCATTATATAACATGTCAAATAGTAGATTGATAAACAGAAATAATCCCATGCTGCTTTTTCCCTTTTCTCATTTCTATCACGTGCTTTCCCATATACTTGCAGGATGAAGAGGGAAGACACCTCATTGAAGCTATTTTTAAACATCCCATTCTTTAAGTCCCTCAATGCACTAAAGGGAATACAACGGATAGATACGGGCCTAATCGTAAACCTAATTACCAGGAAGAAATGAGTTGCATCATGATATTCCCATCCAGCGTGACATTTAAACAAAACCATCAACCCATTGCCTTCCATCACTTCCTCGCATTTAATAATATCTAATAAACCTCACTAAACCCCTTGGATGCTTCCAGTAAACTACGGGTCAAAGCATAAACAAACAATTGTGGGCACCTAACAAAGCCGTCACCCCATTACCTTTTATCTACTTTCTTGCATTTTATAATATCTAATAAAAAACTCCCTAAACCCCTTTAGTGCTTCCAGTCAACTGTAGGTCAAAGCATAAACAAATTCTATAACCCTAGCCTGCCACTCCTTTTCAAACTCTTTTCTTAAGAACTTTGGCCCTTGACCCCATCGAACAGATCTATCAGTTTTGACTACTCAATTGACATCTGGTTACATCTATATTTCATTAATATACACCAACAAAAGGTTTTTAAGAGCCGTATTCCTGAAAGAGATCTTGTGTTCATATATGGAAAGTGACTTCAAAAACCATTCAACTGCATTGTTTAAAAGGGTCCCTAAATGACCCTCTCACAATCATTGTTACTTGATACACCTGCTAAATTATCTTTGATATTTTTCAAAAGTTGCTGCCATATAATCAAAAAAATTCTACATGTACATGAATTGAGAGAAACAATTAAGAAATATGGTGGAAAGAAAAATAAGCTGGAAACAACATTATTGTAATGCGCTATTTAGAAACCATGACTTGCTTCCATGTAGAAGACTCCTACCCCAAAAGCTCCTTTTGGCAGGACTTAAAGTCAAACAGTGGAACAGAAATTTCACCTGAATTACATAAACCACAGCATTAATAGTAAAGAAGCTTGGCCTCAGTCCATCTGTAGAAACAGCACGTGCCTGTTCAATGTACACAGTGAGGGTCAGAATGAAACCACCTTAGTCCAACCACTACCCACCCGCAAGTAGTTTGAATGAAATATAACCTGATAGTAAATTTCTGCCCAGAACAGAACCAAGAGTGCGTAAGTTGTGAAGAAAGCAAGACTTGGCATATCAAGCAAGATATGTCGGACAATCTGGAAAGCAAACAAGGAAAAACTTCAGTTAGCAGTTACTAAGAACAATTAAATTTAAGAAAATGACGCCAACTATCAATTTCAACCTCTGGATGCAGCTTCTGCACTTGCCGGCGGAAAACAAACACTGCTGCTCGAACTACAAGAATAAAAAAGATAAAAAACAAATCAAAACTTACACCCAACCCAACACACATCAAACACTATTAGAATCCTGAAAATGAACCAACCACGATAAATAAAATTAAGCAAAAGAAAACTTGAGAAACGCACAAACCTGCATTGACAACAAAATTGAGAAAGTGGAAGACCTTCTGTGTGGTCCAACCGTACTCCGGCACTCTCAATTGTATCCGAATCAATTGAACCTAGTATTGAATAATTATTAAAATAACGTATAAATCTTCATCAAATTTCTACATTAACCATTAAATTAATCTTCGAAGCAACTCAAAAGTACTGTATCTTTCCTTCATTTTCCAAGCAACCAAACGAAAGCTAAAAAAATCCTAGTATGCGAGATTTAGAATTCAGCTAAACAAATCAAAATTGGTACCTACAAACTACTCGTATAGAAATTGATAAAGAAATACATAGAGATAGAGATGGAGACGCATATAGATAAAGATATAAATACCAGGGCAACGATGGCGACGAGACCGTAGAGAAGAGCGAGAACGTGAAATATACGGTCTTGCCAAAGAGGAGAGTCATTGACGTCATGCCACCAATTGGACGCGTCTCTCAGATTGTAAGCTTTCACCGCCGACTGAACCAGCCCTACGCTGCTACCGCCGCCGACATGCCCCATCCCAAATTACACCAATTTCTTCGTTTTTTATTTTTATTTTTTCTATTTATTGGTATTATTCTGGATAATGGAATTATACAATTATAAAACGGGAACTTTCCGAATCCTGATGATGAAGCCAACACAGTTTGTTTGGAGATTTGAGGAAGAAATTAGATTGGAGTTGCCCCGCGAGAAAGCGAAGAAGAAAGAAAGAAACAATCAAATCCAAACTAAATTTAAATTGAATCGCCTTCGGTTTTTCTTTGTTTTTTATTTTTTGTTTTTTGTTTTTCCGCGAAATTGGAAATTCCAAAACAGCCGGCAAAAATAGGAGAGCCCGAAGCGGAGTACTGTTCTGTTGGGCTTTGAACATTTATGGGCTGCTTCTTGAACTTTGGTTAATTGGTCCTTATCCCTCTTGTATTTGGACATTGGGTTCATATTTATTTACACGTGTGACTCCTCCGCTCATTCTCCCGAAACAGGAAACACACTTGCGAACATGACACCTCCATCAACAAAGCCATTTAGAGCATCCATGAAGGACTCTTTAAATTACATTTTTAGACAAATTTTAGGAAGAAATTGGAAAAATACAACTACAACTATGCTCCCTATCCACCTTCTAAAATAGAAAGACCTCTAGGAGCTTCTAAATCTGAGGAGAGAGAAAGCACTTTTAATGACTTCCTATAATTTAATGCTGCTTTATTTTATGAGTATTTTAAATCTTTAATTAATACTAATTATTTTTCATATTATTTTTTAATAGAGATGGACCAATTAAAAAAGAGTTATAAAATTTATGACTCCCTAAACTAGAGAGCATGATTAGAGTTTAAATTTTATAAAGAGCTCTTAAAATAGTTTTAATGTGTTTTTAGCTAAATTTTAACTAAAAAATAGAGAGCACAATTGTGGATGCTTTTAATATATATTGATTCTTATCCATTTAGTGCCTCTGTTTTTTTTTTTTAATTATAATAATGAAACGATGCATTGATAATCAAAAGCATTACATTAGTTTGATTACCTTGTTGGACAGGATTACTAATCCTAAATCAAACCCGGGTTGGATTATGTGTAATCTTATTAGAATCAAATGAAGTAGGATTATGAATCCTACCAAAAGGTTGGAATTAAGTTGGATTCTAATAGCCTGCACGTCAACAACAGTTAAAACCCATTGGCAATAGCACATTTAAATTCAATCATTTCATACTCATAATTATATTAATGTTACCATTTCAAATACAGTATAATCCAATACAATTTAATTATACCGAATAATTTAATTCAATTTTGATAACAAAAAATAATCAGTATATATGTATTATGTTAATATCTCTTTATGAAGAATTGCATGGACTCAATAATAAATTAATATGTGGGTTTTCAAGGCCTTTTCCGTAAGAATCGACATAAAGGTGTCTAAGATTCATTACAAGTGCGAAGCTTAATTGAAGCTAAGTGCCTCTACATTGGCACATTTAGGTTGACATTGGTGCGAAATGTACAATAGTAGACCACAGATGCATCATTTCAAAGTATAAAAGGTGGAATATGATTATGCCATGCAAGATTTTAAAATAAAATAATTCATCACAGTGCACGAAGTTACTAAATTTAGTGATGTTGATATTGTTTTCTCTCCTGTAAGTGTTCGGAATGCCATTAAAATAAAATAAAAATTTACATGTAATGGGGATAACACTATTTTGCTATCCCCATTACAAGAAAGTATTTTTGCATTAACATATAGGAAGTTGTCACATTCTACAAAACTGAACCATATGTATAATCTAACCGACCACTATATATTATTATTTTTGGGAAACTTCCCAATCCATTATTACAATAAAAATTTGGATGTGATCTGTAATATTTAAAGGAAAAGTTTCACTAAAATAAAACTTTAGATCCAAAATAATCTTTGTCCACCAAATGAATAAACAAAGTATTGGGAGCATGTGACAATTTGGCCTTTCAACCATTCGATTTGATTAGGATATGTGTCTAGGTGTTCCACGTCTAAACTAATCAGGAATCTGATGGGTTTGAAGTTTGAACGGTCAAAGGGGTAGGAGGAGCCAAATGGATATGTCTGTGGGTCTCTCTCCCTCAATACTTATGATAGTCTGCGTCGCTTGTCATCTAAAAGGAAAGAATGTTTGCATATTCAATGCATATGCAGCTACGAAGTTAAAACTCTTTGTTGGTTTGTTGAATACGAATTGGTTCCTCTTTACTGGAAAAATTTACTGCTTACTGTGTTTACAGATTACTTATACAAAATTATTTCAGAATAATGTTGTATATATTAAAATTTTCCAAAGATAATTTTTTATTTTTTGGTCAAGTTCCAAAGATAATTTAGGATTGCCAAAGCTCTCCCATCCCATGTCAAGCAGTCAAAGATATTTGAAAGTAGCAGATCTTCTGCATTGGGATCATGGAGAGACACAAGCCCATGCCCAAATTTCCGAGTTTATAAAAAGGCATCCAATGAGTTTCGGGCCCTGAATTAGTGAGACTTTTTTATTTTATTTTGGTACACAGTTTTTCTTTCTTTTTCTTCTTACTTTCTGCGGGTCCTATGCCTACGTTGTCTGTAAACATAAATAGTCTCACAGAGAGAGAGAGAGAGAGAGAGAGAGCGCGACTGAAACGTGACTTCTTGACTGCAACTTGAAGCTCAAAAAGAAAACTCAGTAACTCACGCATCCTGAGGTATGCCTATTCTATATACAGAGACTGAGTAAAAATGTTACAGATACAACACATTGCATGATGTGCACGGAAAAATTCCCATTGTAGGTTCCTCATCAACAGCAAAATTCTATGGATTACGAAAGGATCCAAAAGCCTCAGGTTCCTTTCTATTTTCTTCTTCTTTTTTGACACAATGTGTTGATTTATATTTTTCACTCCTCTTCTCTCATTCCTATGTATTACTGTTATAGATACACAAAACAACGCATCGTTTTCAAATATTGTTTGTTGTTATTTATTTTTCTTGCTTCAAGCGTGTGCAAAATCCAACCTTTTCTTCTCACTTTTTTTTTCAAAAGAAAAAAACTGAAAAACCCAACCTTTTTGATCTGTCAATTTCACGAATTACACCCACAGTTTGCTTCAAAGTTTTCACCTTTCTCATCTTTTTGGTGCAAACACAAAGACCGAGTACAGGACTTTTGCTATTATTGGATTGTTCATTGGGTATTTGGAAGTGCAGGGCGGTGGGGGGTTTTCACCAGGGAAGTTGAGGACTATGCTACTGGGAGTAGAGAAGAAGAGGAAGGAAAAGAAAGATCCTGAATCTAAATTTACTTTGAGATCTCAACCTTCTGACTTTGATGACGCTGGTTAGCTCTTTTTCTTTTGAGTTTTGGTTTACTTTTTTTTTTTTGATTAGTGATTATTTGCTTGCTTCATTCAGTATTTGAATCTTAGATATCTTATTCTTTGAATTAAGCAACTGGGTCAGTGGCGATTCCGATATATAACAGAAACGGAGTGGTTTGCTCTGTTTGCTTCGATTGAAGCAGCAATGGTTGCTTATGTATTAGCCTGAATAAACGTAAAGCTATGGCATTTCGGTTGGGTTCTGCCAAAAATGGAATTTTTGTTATTTTCTTTGGAAGAATAAATTTAATGCGATCTAATAAAACCTCATAAGAATTGGCGAACTTGATTATTGATTTTCTTACCCTTTGGGATTTTTGGTTAATCTATTCTTGCAGGGGGTGGCGGTTCTGATAATTGCAAAGATGTAGATGTTGTTAGTGTCCTTCCTGAATGCTCAAATTTGACCGCTGCTGACTCTGTAGGCTCAGATATGCTTAGTGACCGTAGATTGAAGGATAACACATCAGTCAATTCCAGAGTTAAGAACCAAGAAGACCCTTCTTTAGATTGTGATAGTGGGCATGATGCTGTGAGTGTGTCCTCATCCATATTTGAGTTTCAGAAGGCAGAGCGTGCCCCGCAAAGAGTGCCTATTGCGCCCTTCTCCAAACCAGCGCCATCCAAATGGGATGATGCACAGAAGTGGATAGCGAGTCCAACTTGGAACCGCCCAAAGATGGGGCAGGCTCAAATGCAGGGTGGGCAAGGAGTTGGATCGAGAAAGGTGGGTAACTTCGGTTATGGGAGTCGACAACCGACCACAAAGGTTGTTGTTGAAGTTCCAGATCAAAAAGTAGCTATTTTTGAAGAACCAGATACGAAACGAATTGACACAAATCAAGCTAAGATGGAAAGTGGGGGGAAGAAGTTTGTTACTTGGGAGTCTGACCCATATCCCATTGCTGATTCGTATGGCAAACCTGTGCTCATGATTGAGAACTCTGCTGGAGAGTCAGCAAGTAAGAATGTGTCTTTCTTCTTTACTGAATTGGATTTTCAGTAGGAATTATCATTTAATGCTTGAACATTTTAACAGTAATTCATTTGGTACATCATTTTTTATTCATACCATTTTATAACAGGAAAAGCCATTATATATGCTTAATAGAAAATGAGTAGGTGCCCATGTCCTTACTGGTGTCTGGTGTGGGAAATGATTTGAAGACAACGGTTTTATTCTTGTGTTATTGCAAATCCGTACCACTGTTTGACCATAATTCAGATACATCAGATACATCGGACCACTGTTATCGGTATTACTCAAGCGAGCTGTTTGGTAATCACAAAAACATCTTTTTGTCAGTGGTAGACCCTTTTAAAGGATGAGGTTTTTTTATGCCTCCTCTTCTTCATAGTGTCAAGTGAGGCCTACGAGAAAGAAAACTGCTTCTGTAATTTGTTTATCAGACTTATTCTTCCTTTATAGTCTTCTCTTTGATGGTTCTTAGACAGGCCTATAATGTAGGTATATTTAATTTGTGTATTCTTTAATTTCTTTGTATTTTTTTCTTTTGCACTAGGTGGTGTGTTGGTTCTCAATTAAATTAACTTTCATGCACAATACTTTACAAAGTGAACTTTCGATGAAAATTTGAAACTTACTAGCTGCGCACTTGCATATGATTTTGTGCAGTCAATCTTAGTCAGCACGATGCTTCTGCAGCCTTGCATGGAACAACAACATTTATTCCTCCCCCTTCAACAGCAAGGTCTGTGTCAATGAGAGATATGGGCACAGAGATGACACCTATTGCTAGCCAAGAACCCTCCAGGACTGGAACTCCTGTGGGGGCAACAACGCCAATTCGCAGTCCTACTAATTCAAGGCCATCAACTCCTGGCAGAGCTGCACCAGCTTCATCTCTGATTGACCAAGAGGCTAACAAGGAGTTGTCTGAAAAGGAGTTACAAATGAAAACTAGGAGAGAGATAATGGCTCTCGGGACACAGCTAGGCAAGATGAACATTGCTGCCTGGGCTAGCAAAGAGGAGGATAAGGATGCATCTACTTCGCTGAGAACTGTACCAGCTGAACAACCGGGTAAAAGTGTTATTGAGACACGTGCAGCGGCATGGGAGGAGGCTGAGAAAGCCAAGTATATGGCTAGGTTAATTCAAGCCCTTCATTTATGCTTTGGCTTTTCTGTAATTATAAATTGTGGAGTGATCATGTGTCCATCACTGCAATTTTCCAGGTTCAAACGGGAAGAGTTGAAAATTCAAGCATGGGAAAACCATCAGAAAGCAAAAACAGAAGCCGAGATGAGGAAGATTGAGGTACTTTTTAGTTGCTTTCTATTAGAAGTCATGTTGCGGCAGCCATTCTCTATTCCCAATCTCATATTTCCCTTTATTATTTTTTAAATAAAGTCTATAAAGTAGCGTACAAACTCTCGCAAGACAACATAACAATAGCCAATTTAGGTCAGCTGGGCAGGACTGATCATCTAACATTGTAAGACTATAGCCCAATGTTACCTGGAACATAAAGACTGACCGTGCTAAACTGCAAGAGGGTGGCTCCTGATGAAGAATGCACTCTCTAGGGCTTCATCCCCTAAAGTCTCAATGCACTTGCTCATTGTGGCATAATGCAATGCAGACATGTGAGAGAACCTGTTAGGCAGCAGATACTGTTTTGCCCAACAGCTTTTATGAGGTGGAATCAGAAGGCATGCCCTTCTAATTTTCTGATAAATTAATTATTTCATACTTCAGTTTCTCCTTCTCATAAGGCATACAATACATCTTTGTGTTTGAAAATTTTCAAGTTTATTTTTGTATGGTAGCCATCTTTCTTTAGGTCTTTGTTGTTGTCAGGACAAAAAATGGTAGAACGCCAGCCTTCTCACAGGTTGAGTTGCTTGGGCTGTGTTTTACATATATCATGTTGGTTGGTTGTTTGATTTGCTTGAATACTTAAAAAGAGTGTAAAGTAAGGCTTTCCGCACTAAATATAGAAAATCATCAGCTTCAAAGACTTGTTAGCTAACTTGAACTTCTAATCTATGAATCCTATTGGAAATTATGCAGTTTCTTGATACTGACAATCGTTGCTTCCAGGTAGAGGTTGAAAGGATAAGGGGACGGGCCCATAGTAAGCTTATGAATAAGTTAGCTGCTGCGAGGCATAAGGCTCAAGAAAAGCGAGCAGCATCAGAGGCCAAGAGAAACCAGCAAGCAGCAAAAACGGAGCAGCAAGCAGAGTACATTCGGAGAACTGGCCGCATCCCTTCCCCGTTTTCTTGTTGGGGTTGGTGCTCATGATATTCGAATTCGAATCACTTCCTGCTGTGGAGGCCTTTGTTCCGTTCTTCCCCATATATCCATGCTCATACACACGTTATATTCATGAGCATGTCAAGATGTCCAGCCATCATCTCCACTTCTAATGTAAAAACCTAAAGACTTGATTTGGCCAAGCCTATTAAAAAAAAGTTAGCAAGTACTCAATGTAAGTATCAGCGCATTTTTTGTTGTGCAGACCATTGGCCTTTGATTTGATCCATCCAGCAATATTCAAAATGAATTGTTTCACTGTTTGTAATCATACTCCTGATCTTGTTGTGAAGCAACTGGTACTGTTGCACTGGATTGCTCCCAAGCGTGGGATTTGTAATATCAATACTGATGGTAGCAGGAAAACTGAAACGGGTTGTATTGGTGCTGGTGGTATCTTGAGAGACTCCACTAGCAAGTGGTTAAATGGTTTTTCTGTGAATCTTGGTATTGGGACAATTCTAGAGGCTGAACTGTGGGGTGTTTTTTGGGGCCTCAAGTTGGCTTGGAATATGGGCTACAGAATTGTGGAAGTTGAATGTGATGCTAGCTCTGTGGTGGCCCTTCTTCAGAATGCTCCTGTGTCTGATCAACCTCTCTTTAGTCTTCTAAACTGTTGTCATCTGAAGCTTCATGATGACTGGATTTGCTCTCTTACCCATATCTATCGTGAGCAAAATCGTGCTGCTGATCTTCTGGCTACCAAAAGCTATGATTTCCCTCTTGGTCCTCATCTTTTTGCCTCGGAACCTGCCTTTCTCAGTACTGTACTTGCTGATGATACTAGCAATGTGGCTAGTCCTCGTTTAATTCCTTTATAATTGTTGTTTCTTTGTTTGGGCTTTAGCCCTCCTTAACACCAAAAAAAAGAAAAAAGAAAGAAAAGAAAAGTAGAAGCCTCATTGAATTGTGGCATTACAAGCAGGGGATATGTTTTAATTTTTATATTTGTTCTTTCCAGGAGGGAAGGGTAATGTTGGCCTTTCACATCCTTGTTTGACGAATTTGGAATCTGATAAAAGGAAAAAGAAAAATTTTCATCAGGGTTGGAGGGAGGACAGTTTAAGGTTTACTGCTTCCCAAATGCCAGCAGACAACAATGTCCTTCCGGACTTCCATAGTGAAAGTCTTGAGAAACTTGCCCAACAAAACCTAATCATGTTCAACATCTTCAACTCATAAAATAACACAACACACGGAAGTCACAATGTCGCATAAAGTACTTACCAAAATAAAGGTCGCACAAATAAAAGTACTTTTAAATCTATTGATATAAAATATGGAGTGTTTCGACCAATAAATAAATAAATATGGAGTGCAAGTATTTATAATTTATACTGATAAATTTAATTCATATTAATTAAAATACTGATAAATTTAATTTTTATCTTAAAAAAAATTATAAGATCATGTACTTATAAAATAAAAGACATGAAAAGAGAAGTTAATTGCTGAAGTTTTTAGTTTTAAAAAATGGAAAGTGCCTATCGCTTTTCACTCCCAAAAAAAAAAAAAAGAAGTGAAAACATATATGGGTAAAACTGGAAAGTCAAAGATCTTTTTGGGGTTTTTTTTTTGTAGGTCTCGACCAAAAAAAGAAGTTATTTTCGGGAGTGGGGGTGTGATGAGAAATATGTGCAATAGAAACACCCTACTGCTAATTTATAATACAATCTAATTTTTTTATTTTTCTATTTTTTATTTGTTTAAAATGAAAAACTATGGCTTAGCTTAAATCCTCATCATCATATTATACACCCACTTCCTCGTTCTCAATCTCTCTCTCTCTCTCTCTCTCGCTATAAGACTTGCCCATCTTGTGGCGGCTCCTCTTCAAGATTGGATCGGCCTCTCTCTCCCCCTCGCTCTCTTCCTTGCTTGGAATCGATCTGCTACCGAGACGATCCGTGGAAGTTTTAATTAAAGAATCGCCATGGTAGTTGGCGCACAACCACAGCCGCAACCACAACAACAGCAGCAGCAGCAGCAACAGAAGCCACCACAGCAACCTGAGACGACTGCTGAAGAGGAGGCCTTGAAGAGGAACACCGACTGCGTCTACTTTCTGGCCTCGCCTCTCACCTGTAAAAAGGTTCGGCCTTTGTTTGAATTCAAATTGTTCTGGGTATTCTTGCTTTTAGTTTTAGGGTTTTAGAGTTTAGTTTTTGTTTCGTTTCTGGTGGGATCTTGGGCTGGTTGGAAGTTGTGGTGGAATTTCTGGCCATAAGCTTTCAGATTTGAATGTTTCACGATTGTTATAATTGATTATTTTCTCCGTGATATTTGGATGTCAATTGATGGGATTGGAATTGGGTTTATGATGGATCTTTCTAGGTTACTATTTGTTCCTTTGGGTAATTCTGATTTTCCTGTTCTCTTAAAAAAATAATTAACCCTAGGTTTAAATATATTTGTATATAAGGGGGACTAGTTTTATTGAATTGCTGCTAGAAGTATGAGGGCTATGGTTTCTTGAATAATTATGCGATAAGGTTTCTATGTCAGAATCACTAATGGGTAATCTTGATGAGCTTTCTTTTAGGGGCTTATGCAGTTGATCTATGAGAAACCTTATCCCAAGAAAATTTATGTTAGAATATAGTGCTTGCAGCTGAAAATTAAACCTTTTTTCACAATTGGTGTATGCTAAATATTTTTGGTAGCCTGCGGGATAGTCTCTGTTACTTTTGCTGCTGAGCTGGGAAAAGTTAATTTGTTACAGAATTTGGGTTCTACTTTAGGCTATTTCTAGATATGGGTTTGTGTTCTTGACCATTTATGCCTTAGTAGGTACTGAAATTGTGTGAATGGTATATATAAAGCATGTCCACGGGCCTTTTTTTTTTTCTCAGTCACCATGACTTGATATACTTAGCAATGTATTTGAGTTGTTACCTTTGGCATTTTCTTTTCCTCTATTACACAGTAGTGTCTCAATGTAAAGGGAAACCACATATTTTATCTATACTAATATACCATAAATAATGGTTAGATTATCTCAATGTTAACCTTATTGATACTCTGTTGACAGGGAAGTGAATGTGAATATCGCCACAGTGAATATGCTCGGGTCAACCCCAGGGATTGCTGGTACTGGTTGAATGGTAATTGCTTGAATTTAAAATGCACGTTTCGGCACCCAGTAAGTATTGTTTTCTTATCTTTGTCCAAATTTACTTGTTTCATATTTAAACTTATGCCCAAAAAAAAAACGTTACTTTTTGCCTAGGTCTCCAATCATTTTATTTGACATTGTTTCTGACCACATGTTGTTCCTCTCCAGCCTCTTGATGGATTGTTAGGAAGCCCAGCAGCAACTTCAGCTGGACCTTCTTTGCCTCTATCACATACTGTGGCAACACCTACGACGCCTGCAACACATGTGACTTATAACTCAAGTAAACAAGCAGTCCCCTGTATTTTCTTCCAAAAAGGGCAGTGTTTAAAGGGTGACAGATGTGCCTTCTCGCATGGACCAAATCCTATGACTGGCAGTAAAGTTCCACAGGCACCAGCAACTACCCATGGTACAGAGGCTTCAAGTCTTAAGAAGGTTTTTGGTGGCCTTCAAAAGTGCACTCAAGAATTGAAGGTTCCCCAGGCAAGTGCCTCAAAGTCAGTTGGAGTGCCTCCTCAAGCTAAACCTGCTCCAAAATTTCAAACTGTTCCAGTCAGGAATGGAGTTAGCATTGAGAGGAATGTGCCATCAACTAAAGCATTGGATGATGAGGCCCTTAGATACAAGGCAACAAGTGTTCCTCCTGTTAGCAATGGAGACTCTACAAGTCAGGTCAATCATTTACTTCAGGCTCATGTATCAGACCATCATGGTTACCAAAACGGTAAGGATGCTGATGAGCACTTGAGGGAGTCCTCTCCTGGATTTGATGTTCTTGTAGATGATGAGCTTGGAGATTCTGATTACTACCATGGTGAAGATCAATTTGGAAGAGCAAGAGGTCATGAGGGGAGGAACTTGAATTCTGTGAATGAATATGATCTGGATCGTCCGGCTGATTACAATTCAATGGCTGATGTTGATCGAGAAAGGTTTTGTGACCCACGGGGCTATGACCCTTACGATCACATGCAAGGGCACTATGCTTGGGACCAGCACAGGGCTTCATCTGAGAGACAGTTAGTGGGTCCTGCCCGTCTTGAGAGGAGGGGTTATCGCAAATCTGATAGTCCGGAGAACATTGATGAGTTAGATCTGCGACATCGTTTATCCAAGCACAGGAGGGTAAATGGTCTGAGATCCATCGTCAGCCATGATTATGCACTAGATGGTCATGGCCATGTTGAGGAGCGAAAAAACCGTCCTCGTAGGGATTCACAGCAATTGCCCTCACATGAGGGCTCTCTTAGTAGTCGTCTTCATGGTAGAATAAAGCTTCCGGGTGGGTCTCCACCAGTCAATGGTGGTGATTTGCGCCAAGAAAGGGAAGTTGACAGAGGAAGGAGTCGAGGCAGATTGTCACCTAGAAGGGCTCCAATATCCTCCCAACAAGGAAGGCTTCGAGACAGAATAAAAGGAAGGGTAGAGGACTATAATAATGAGGAGAGAAATTTTGGGGCTCATCGTAGTAGGAGAGAAATAATGGATGACCGAAGTGATGACTTTTCTCGTCCTAAGCGTCTTTCAGATCTGAAAGGTGGGAAAGATGGAGAAAATAAAGAGCAATCTTATCTTGGAAAACGGAAAAATGTGATGGATAATTATCAACAATCGGAAGGTGATATTTCATTTGAAGGGCCAAAGCCTCTTAGTGAGATTCTGAAGAGGAAGAGAGAAGCTGAAGCAGCAGCTTCTGGGAGTGGGAAATCTTCTATCAATAAACAAGGCAATAATCAGAGAGAAAGCAGGGTGAGCAATCCAGGTGAGACTGAGTTTGCAGTCGCAGAGGTGAAAAGCAGTCTGCCTACTGTGGCCAAGGAAGAGCCCAAGTATGCAACCGAAGATGCAGTTGGAGCCGAAGATGAAAAAACTGATGTTGCTCATGGTCAGTCTTCACAAGGACATAATGCTGGAGAGCTTGAGACTGAAGAGGGGATGATTGATGATGAAACATTGGAGGATCAGGAACCTGAAGCT